GGAAACCTGGCAGGGGGACGAGGGGAATGGAAAACCCCCCCATTTACACGGTCTGCCCACACAACGCTTCTCCCTACATCTTCCGTGTCTGTGTTTGTGGGTTTTGTAAGATGATCCCAATTATCTTCGGAAGTGAGTGTTGTATCAACTATAAATAAACGAGAGGCTTCTTCAGGACATCCATGCCTGCTGACTTTCCAGGCTTGGGCCTCTCTGTCCCTGCAGTGGTGGGGAGGGGTGTTGCTGTGAGCTTAGAGTGAACGGCAGGGGGCTGCACTTGGCTCTGCCATTTTCTGGTTACATGAAAGCTTACCTGAATTCTCTGAGCCTCCAGTGGTCTTGGAGATGAACAAGAGGAATGAGGACTCCGTGAGCTGTGCCTGTCAGCGCACTCTGTGAAAGCAGGAGTCCAGCTGAGCTGGAGGTATATTCACCGCAGAACCCAGGTCTGTCTGGGGGATGGCTGGGGCAAGTGCGCCAGAAGTTCATGGACCCCGTGAGCCGAGAGGCCTCCTGGGAAGGCAGCAGCCCTGGGCTGGAGGGAGGAGGGGAAACTTGGTGCTTCTGAAGTTAGGGAAGCAGCTGTCAGACATCAGAAGGTTCCCCTCCCTGTCCGGGACGCACGGAAAGGGCTACAAGAGTGTACAAAAACTGAAAGAACTGGTTCTTTATCATCTCTGCGGAATGTGGACGGGGCAAGGTCCACAGATATGCTGACACAACTTTCCGCGGGCAGCCTGCCCCGCACCAGCATCGACAGAGCCAGCATGGCAGGGAGCGCTGGTGACACGGCCTCCCCAGGGGACAGGCTCCCCGGGAGCCCGGGGTGGGAGGGAGGCGGGGGGAAGAACATCTCTCAGCTGACAACAGGAGAGAATTCCTTTTTAGGCTGTTTTGGCGATGTTCTCCTCATCCCAGGCGTTTTGATGGAAAGAGCTACCCAGAATGAAAGTGTTACGGAGTCCTAACTTGTTCTGCGCACCGCACGACAGGCCAGTAAGTCAGAAGATGAGGTACTGGAGCAAGGAATAACGACTTTACTTGGAAAGCCGGCAGATGGAGAAGATGCGGGACTAATGTCCTGGAGAACCATCTTCCCCAAGTCAGAATTCGGGCTTCTTTTACACTAAAAAGGGGAGGCGGTGCAGTTGGTTGTTGCAAACTTCTTGGTGTCAGAATCCTTTGTTCTAGCAGCTGTCCACGTGGGTCAGGTCATGGTGTCCCTACAAACCTCCCACAAGACAAATGTTATCCTCTGCTCTGCAAATTTTTTTTCTCTCTATGAATGGGAAAGAGTTATACCCATAAAGGTCAGAGCCTGGAAAATGGGCTACCCTGCGTATTTCAGGCTCTAGGCAACATTCTTTTATAAAAGGTGCAGAGCCAGCATGACTGAGCCCAGGAAACAGAGCACAGGGTTACAGCCAAAGGAACAGATCTAACATGAATCAGACTTGTTCGTCCCAGTTACAATAGGGACTGTCGCGCTGACTTGCCAGCTCTAGCCTGGAGCGCCTCTCTGCAGCTCTGACCAGGGGATGCTGGTGGTGAGCCCCGGGTGGAGCAATCAGTGAGAATGAAGAGCTGGAAGGAGGAGTGGAAGCTGCCCGGTGGCCAGCTCTTCATCCTCAAAAGTTCATTCATCCGCAGTGACATTCCCCTAACGTGGAGTGAGGAGCTTGGTGTCCACAAGCCCAGGAGACCGTGCAGATGCTTCCAGGATGTTCAGAATTTTAACCCGTTTTTGTGTTATTTCTACAGTAACGTGTAAACATATTTATTTTTACTTAAAAAAAAACTCTGGGTCAAATTTTTTATGCTGCACTTAATTGTCAAAATAAAAATTCTCACGTTAAAAAAAAAAAGCAGGGTGGGTTGCAAGGGCCAGTGAGGAAGGCAAGCTGTGAGAGGAGGCAGTGGTCTGCAGTGGTTCCAGAAAGGCTGCTGAGCAGGGGTGAGCCTCACTGAGGATTTGTAGAGGCTGAAAGAAGGTCAGGGATTCCCCATCCCTCCTGACTGCTTCACTGAAGTATAACTTGCATGTAGAAAGTGCATCTTTCTAGGTGTTCAACCCACTGGGCTGTTTCACAGACTCAGCACATCACGTAACCAGCACCCAGATCGAGCCCAAAGGTCTTCAGTTTCCCTGAAGAATCTGCGGCTCGCTGAGCTGTCTTGGGTGGGTCACACAACAGCACTGGGCCACTCTGTAAAACTGGAGTAACAACAGCATTCACTCCGTCCGGCTGTTGTGAAGATTCATAATAATCACGTAAAAGAATACATGAGCAGAGCTTGGAGCAGCGCCTGGCGTGCAGTAAGCTCATCGTGAACGCCTGTATTTTCAGGGTGATTGAATTCTTTAACCCAAATGCCACTGATGAATTGTTTCTCCATTTCAATTCAAGTCAGGACATTTCTGGGAGGATTTTGGCGGGTGGTCAATGTATGGATCCACTAGGTACAAGGGGGACAGGAGTCTTCTTTCGAGAGAAGCCGTCCTCAACTTACTGAGGATGGAATTGCTCTATTTCAAAGTGTCCCCTTCCATTAAAGCCAGCTCATGATGGGACCTGAGCAGCCCTCTTTAATGTCTTCTTTTGACAGTAGCCTCTGTATAAATGCATTTCAGATTTCAAGGGGGGGGGGAAGAGTTCTGATTATCCAATTTCGATGTATAATATTTTGGTCCTATTTAAGCAGTTATAATTTCATTTTTCTTTTCTCTCCTAATTGTGTATTTTCCCTTATTAAAATATTTTAGAAGAAGAAAAATTGGACAATCAGAGTATAAAAAGGTTCTGTTGCGTGAAGACACAATATGTCATCACATTGCACAGGGCCCCTGACATCTCTGACAACAGCAGCTGATACAGCGAACGGCCACAGAAGCACTCCGCTCCACTGACGTGTTGCTGCAAGTCTGCACTGCTCCTGCTGTACCATACGTTCCAGAAAAAAGCCCTGGGGGCTTCCAGCGGGGAAGGATTCCCCAGAAGAATGACAGCCATGGAGCCGTGCGGTTCCAGGCCCTGAGCAGAGGACGAGTCAGCGCTTAAGGAGAGCTTGCTGCTCAGCCCATCACCCAGAAGAATGCAGAACCCGCACCCAAGCAGGCGGGCCTGGAGGTGCGGCGGGAAACTAAACGCAGGCAAAACAAATGGGAAGGAGAGCTGTCTGTGGTGCGAGCTACTAGGGAAACATGATGCAGTGCTGTTTAGAGGCCTGGGTTGTGTACCTTTACCTGAACGTTTTCAGGGTTCTGCGTCTCTCCTAATTTGCCAATTCCAATGGATCATCAGGGTCTACCGCCCTGCAAGTTAAATCACTTTGTAAAGAAAATAAATCAAACTTCCAGGAAAGCTGCAAAAATATTTCCCATAAGTTCTTTACCCAGGCTTACCACCTTTCGGGGTTTTTTGTGCTTTTTTTTTGCCACAGCTCTTTTATTATCCTCTGTCTATATCTTCCCTGGACTTTTGAAGGTCATTTGTGTTTATCATGCCACTTTAACCTCTAATAATTCAGATTTCCTAAGAATAAGAGTCTCTTATATAATCATGGTACAGTTATCAAAATCAGAATATGTAGCACTCTACGTAGACTGGAGCCTGCTAGAACTGGCACTGTTGTTCCCTATCCTCCAGTCCCTCATCCACCTTTTTTTTTAAATTGAAGTATAGTCAGTTTGCAATGTTGGATCACCTGCACCCCAATGTTCACAGCAGCACTATTTACAACGGCCAAGACATGGAAATAACCTAAATGTCCAGCAACAGATGACTGGATAGAGAAGTTGCGGTATATTTATACAATGGAATACTCCTCGTCCCCTTTTGTTAATTGTCCTTGTCACGCCCTCCACTGCGTCTTCAGCCACTCGTGTCACATGTTTTAGTTACCACTCTCCTCAGGCCCCTAGTCTGGAACAGCCCCTCCCCTTTTCCGTGTCTCACGTAATAGTGACATTTCTGAAGAACACAAGCCAGTTCTTTTACAGAATGTTCCTCAATCTTGTTTTTTTTCAGTATGTATTCATTATCCGGTTTAGGTTATGCATCCTTGGCCAGAATACTGAAACGGTGTGTTGAGTCCTTCCCGGGACATCTTTGCAGACCCAGGACATCCATCTGACCCTCATGAGGGATAGTCACGCTGATCATCTGGCCAAGGTGTTGTCCAGCTTCTCCACTGTACAGTTACCGAGTTCCCCCTGCAGCTGGTAAGCATTCTGATGGAAGACGTCTGCAGACTTTGTAAATACCCTTCTTCTCATCTTGTAAATCTCTCTCCCCTGTCCCTCCCCACCGACAGGTTAGTATCTATTGCTCAGTCTCCTCCGACCGGTCTTTACAATGATGTCTGCACAGTAGTGATTCTCTTCCTCACCCTTCCCTTCACATTTACCAGTTGGCTTTCTCCTGGAAGAAAGAAACCTCTCACCTCTTCCACATATTTCTCTGTTTATTATCGGCATGTACTTTCAGATTTCTATTTTATTCAGTGTTTATTTTGACACATGTATGTCCCAGAGTCAGCCAATGGGTGCCCTTCAAGCTGGCTCCCTTGACCTTTTAACATTGCCCCGCCTCCTTTTAAACTCTCCCTAAGGCTCACCTAGGACCTTCCAGGCCCCACCCATGGATCAATTGCTACTGCAAGGGAACATTCTCATCATGGAGAATGGTATTTAGAAACCAAGATCCGGCTGCAAAATGTGCTCTTTGCTACCAGGGTATCATTGCTCTGCATCTTTTTAGTGGACAGATCTAGGACATACATACATACATACACGTGTGCAGTATATGTATGAATATTTGTTTATATGTGGACACGTAGTTGAGCATGGATATGTGTATATGTGTATATGTATATATGTGTATAAAATAATCAGATCATGCTGTTCTAATTCCAAATCTACTCAGAAGGAATCTTGCTTGCCTTCCCTCGTTCCATATCGTATCTCCCTTCTTCCATAATGAGAACCCTAGCTCCCTAAAACAATGCGTTTTCTGACTTGCTCAATTACACAATATGCATAAAATAGTTTAATTGCGACACCTGTGACACTATGAAGACACATCATAAAGAAGAGTTCAAAAATGGTCATTCTTTTGTTCTCTAGACTGTGGGGATCCAGCCCAAGTACTCTGTCTGAAAGTCATGCATATTACTCCTTCGATCCCTTTTCAATGTGGGTATGTTATCTATTTGAAATATAGTTATTCACATATTTGTTTGGATTCCGTTTCTGTTTGGATTCCATTTTTAGTGGCCTCCCCATAGTTTCGTTGATTTTCTTTTACTTTGAATATGTAGGACATGCACATGTTTCCAGAAGTCAAGTGTAGACAAAATGTATTCTTGGACAAGTGTCACTCCTGTCCCTTCCATCTTTTCCTCCCACCCATCACGGGGAACTCATTTCATGGTTTCCTGGTTTATCATTGGTGTGTGGGCTGACAACATAAACAGGTATTTGTATGTTTACTTATTTTCCTTCTTACACAAAGAGTAGCCTGTAATATGTAAGTATTGCACTTTGCATTTTCCATTTGATTTTTTATTTCATATTTAATAATATATCCTGGAAATCACTCCATATCTGTTCATAGAAACTGTCTCAATTTTTCTTTATAGTCTTGCCAACAGAGTGTCTTGTCAAGCTTTCAAATTTTTGCCAGTTTGTTGGGGGAATAAATAGTATCTCTGTAGTTTTAATTTGCAACTCT